GGTGATGGAGGGCTGTGATCTCAATGTTCTCCTGTCTCCTCACAGGCGCAGCGCACCTCGTGTATGGAGAAGCACACCGCCACCCACCTGCTGAACTTCGCCCTGCGTCAGGTCCTGGGGGAGAGCGCGGCACAGCGCGGGTCACATGTCACCGCGGAGCGACTGCGCTTTGATGTCAGTGTCACGGTAAGGACCCGAGCAACTCCAGGACGGCTCTGTAATGGGGGAGATGATGGTGGGTTCCTCGCGGCTCTGAGAGAATCCAGTGTCAGGTGACCTGTGTCTGTGTCCATTCTGCTCATTGGATGCCAGTGTCAGGTGACCTGTGTCTGTGCCCGCCCTGCTCATTGGATGCCAGTGTCAGGTGACCTGTGTCTGAATGTTGAAGGGCGGAGTCTGGTCTCATTTCTCACGCTCTGTGTATATTTTAGGGGGCGGTGAGTGGTCAGCAGCTGCAGGAAGTGGAGAAGAAGCTCCGAGATCTGATTGGTCGGAATCAGGAAGTTTATACCGCCGAGATCCCACTCGCAGACGCCAAAACTATCCCGGGGCTTCGCAGCGTGGACGAGGTAAGAAGGTTCCATTACAGCAGTGGCTCCTCCCCCTCCGCAGCAGTGACTCCTCCCACAGCAACGGGGGAATCCAGCGTTATGGGTACATCATATGTGCTGCGTCTTTGGATTACCCATAGTGCTCTGGGAGGTCAGTGTTGTGGGTAGCGTCACATGGAGGACCACACCCCCGGCATCCCTTTAAACATGAGACCACTAGACGGAGGAGACTTTAGCTGTGCAGCCTGCTGATCAGTTGCTGGATTAGATTGTAACCGGCAACTGATCAGCAGACTGCACAGCTAAAGTCTTTATCCTCCAGTGGCCATCTTGGAGGAGGAGCATGTCTATGTACAGGGGTGCCAGGGGCGTGTTCATACCATGAGGGGGCTCCTGAAGAAGATCCCAGTCAGGGTGTTGTGATGTCTATAGGAGTTTTCAGGCCCCTCCCACAAAACCTGTGCAGAGGCCGGCAGAGAGTCCCGGGGCGATCTCTTCTCCTCACCTCTCCCCTCCGGCAGGTGTACCCGGATCCGGTCCGCGTGGTCTCGGTGGGTGTCCCCGTCCCGGAAACGTTGGGTCCGGCCGCCCGGCACACGTCGGTGGAACTTTGCTGCGGCACGTAAGAGTCCGTGGTGTCCTTCCCGGGATCTGATTGGCTGATTGTATCTCCCCCCCCCCTGACGTTCTCTCCTCCCCCACAGGCACCTCGTGAGGACCGGGACCATCGGGGAGCTCGTCATCACCTCTGAAAAACCTCTGACCAAAGGGATCGTCCGCCTCGTCGCCGTGACCGGAGAAGACGCCCGAGAGGTCAGAGGTCACCCATCCTCCAATCACCTGCCGCCCTCTTCTCCTACTAATCACATTCATTTATTGATTATTGATCCCGTATTGATAACCGTCTGATGATGAAATCGCTGTTATCCCCGTCCTTCATATTACAGAGGACGTGTCCGGTACGCCCCGTCCTCCTGCCCCTCCCCCATTATCTGTCACCCTTCCGGGGGTTTCCTCACCAGTAATAATGACGTTTGTCCCCGCCCCCCGGGACATGTGACCGAGCTGGAAGTGCTGCTTTGTTTACTCTCAGCTGTCTGCGGTGCACACGTGACGTATACACCGGGTCAGGACGGTGGGCGTGCTGCATACGTCCTACAACACATCATCATATTATAGAGGACGTGTCGGGTACGCCCCGTCCTCCTGCCCCTCCCCCTCACGCACATGCCGGAGGTTCCCAACGTGATGACATCCGGGATGCCCCCGACCCGAGAGTCTCGCTCCTCCTGCTTCACATCCCTGAGTGTCATCTCTCCCCTCCAGGCCCAGGAGACGGGACTCGCTCTGCACGGGGAGGTGGGATCCATCGCTGAGCGGATGAAGATGGCGGGGACGTCCTCCCTGGACGAGGCTCTGAGGTTGTCCAAGGAGGTCGGACATGTGACGGACGTGAGTAGGGATGAGGAGGGCGCCCGTACTTACCCCTGTGCCCGCCTCTGATTGGCTGTACTGGCTCCTCCCCTCTGATGTCACTGCACACCGGGAGCTCCTCACCATGTACATTAGAAGCTGCAGCAAGTCAGATAGAGCTCCGCCCCATTTCCTGCATCATCTAACCCTTTCCTACCCAGCCTGACTGTCCCTGGCCCCGCCCCTTTCACTCATTCATTCAATTATAAAGGCTCAGCATCACATGTGGGCGTTGCCCAGAGTGGTCTATATGCAAATACAGCCTGCCTAGACACACCCACTCCTCCAGACTGACGCCCACCCATCGAGGCATTTTGTTATTTGCATATCTCCTCCCAAAGGCCGGCCCACTGCTTGCATCAGGTCTGAGGCCCCTTCAGAGGAGTACTGAGGCAGGGTGCTGTGATGTTTTCAGGAAGCTATGTACCGCCCCCTGCCGGCCCCTCCCACCAGCCACGCCGATCTGCCTGCATTGCGTAGAGAAGGACAAAGACCGTCCAATCAGATTGCGGGCAGCTTTAGTGTGCGTATGTGTAGTGTTCAGTTAAGGAACCCGCGATGTTGTGCTACAGAAGGGGGAGGAGACATGTGGTCACATGATTTACAAAAGACATGAGAAAATGTGAGAGAGAGAAGTCTCCGCCCCCCTGTAATGGTGTCATTGTTTTTGTGCAGAG